GTAACCCTATATAAGATTTTGTCATAATGTTTCATAAATCTTATGAACTCGTAAACTCAATAGTTTTATAATATTATATTCTAAAATATTATGAAAATCATAAATCTACGGAATATTATACTGTATTTAAATTTCAGATGAAAGAAATGTTATATTATAAATTTTAATAAAGTATAAATTAATAATTTAAATATTTGCAAGAATATAAAAACCATGTAAAATTTTTTAATTATAGTGATTAATCAGTGTTAAACCTCAGATTAATTAATGTCAAATCTAGTATTAATTAGTATTAAATCAGTGATTATTAATTAGTTGATCCAATTTATTTAATTTCTATAATTCAAATTTGAAATTCAATTATAAACTGTAAAAACTGCATAAATTTAAAATTATGAAAATTTTTAATTGCAAAAAATGTGTACAAAATCACATAATAGGTACAATATGTGATATTTGTTATTATTTGTTGTTATTGCTTATTTGAGATATTTTGAAAAAATAAGTACACGTTTATCAAAATAAATGGAAAAACTATATAATAAAGTGAAGTTCATATAAGTAGTAATTGAAAATATAATGATAAAATGTATTTTTTGTACAATTTTCATGAAATTCAATAATACTTTTGTTTTTAATAAAACCAATTCAATTTTTATTAATTTGTTATGTTTAAATATTCTTTAGAAAGAACATAAAATTTTGGAGATATAATTTAATATACTTTATTATTATTTTAAAATTAATAATTGATTTATTAAAAAATTTGCTTTAAAATTAATGAATAAATTGTTAAAATTCAGTAAAACATTATTGAATTTTCTCATTATAATATATTATGCCCTCTAAAGTGAAAATTCATTATATTGAGATTCAACTATATTTCAAAATTTTCATCTATATTTTCATTCACTACATATAATATCAATTTACTTACAAATGAAGTTAAAAACCTTTTAATTAATAATACTTTTATTGACTTTAATAATGATTTCATTGGATTTATAGAAACTAAACACAAATCTGATCAATCTTACCATTAAATACATAATACCAATTTTTGTACTTTTTAGAGTACTTATATTAATACTTTTGCAAACATTGGTTTTCTCATTAAGCGTTTATAAATAATATATACAGTATTCAATTTATCTTCTTAGATAATGACCATTTTATTTATATTGATTTAAATCTAACAGAATACAATAAACTTCGCATTTATAACATTTATTTGTATGCATCTCAAATCTCATAAACAAAACAAGTTAGGATAAAACTTCATAAAGAGATTCTTAATTACATTAAGTATTAAGATTAGCATTAAAATCTCCTAAAATTATGATTTTGAAATCTGATTTAAGACTATCTTTAATTGAAGATTTGACTTTTATTACAGTTTCTTTATACTTCACTTTTGGGTTTTTATGACTTATATTATAATTCACCCAAATCTACTTTTTCTACAAAAAAATTATCTCTCAAATTGATACTATCTTTACTTCTTCTAATTTCATCTCAGATTTTCTATATTCGTCTTTAGATTCATCTGATTTGTATTCATCTGAACACAAGATTATTTTTGCCATTTTTATTAATATTTAAAGTCAAATATAAGATAGGTCTCACATTCTTTAGAATAAATGACAAGTTCATAATCTTCATTTAATAGATTCATCTAAATGGAATGATTTTACTGAGTATACGAATTTTTATTATAATGCTACAATTTCGATTGACTAAAACCTTTCACTAAATTATCATAATATGAACTTATTTGAAAATAATATCAAGGCTGTTATATCACCTGTAAATAAAAAGGTTATTTCACATATTTGGATCTCATATCATTATAATAACAAATAACTTTATGATTCTTCACAATCTTTATAATTGCTAAAAAATGCTGTTATTATTCAAAGAAAATTCATCCAATCGAAGTGTTAGCCTAAAGGTCTTACTTGGAATTATTTGATCTTTTTACTTAAAAAAATTATTGATCAAATAAAATTGTTATCTTTCAACTAACTAGCTACACTTGATGAAAATAATGTAATTATAGTCAAAGCTTTTGTTAAAGAAACTCACAAATTCTTAATTGCACTAGTTAAAATTGATACTAGTAAAATTAAAAAATCAGATATCAAATAATTTATTAACAAATGTTGTCATGATCTTTTTAACAATCTTTTAAAGATAATTGATTCAATTCTTAATCACAAGAAAAATACTATTATATTAGATAGGCTATTAATTAAAGACTTAGTTAATGATTCCAGAAGATTTACAATAGATTTAGAGGAAATCAAGGAGGTAATGATTAAGCATTGTTAAAATTATGTTTTACTTGATATTTCTGTATAATATATATTTTCAAGATGGTCTCAATAATACTTATTAATGAGTATATCAATGATAATTATTATCACAATTTTCTTCAGTTATCTACATATGATGAATGGATAGCTGTATTTAAACATCTTCCTAAAGATAAAGCTGCAAAATTTTCTTGAATTACCAATGAAAGGATAAACAATATAAGTGACAATTTACAATAACTTTTCTGATAACTTATTTGTATGTGAAAATATTTCTAATGAATAAAAAATTGTTCACATTTTTCCAATTTTTAAACAATGGCTTAGGAAAGTATTATATTTAAAACTTAATCTATCACATTATTTGAAATAGCTAGAAAAAGATTTGCTAAAATCATCGATAACTGACTGTCTAAAATTATTACTAAAAATGATATTTTCAAAGAAGGTAATTTCACTGGTTTACCTTGAAGCTCAACATAGACTCCTATTAAAATTCTTAATATTATTCTTGAGAATGCGTATGAAAATAACAAGAAAATTTAAAATTTACTACAAAATATCTTAAAGGCTTATAAATAAGCTAACCTTTCATTTTTTAGATATACATTTACATGAATTAAGTTTCCTAATAAAGCAGTAAACTTACTTATTAACTTCTTTATTACTCGAAAGAATACTATTTTTACAGCATAAGAAATCTCTGATTATTATGACGTCAAAATCAGTATTGATCAATGTGAAGTAATTTCTCTTTTGATCTGATATATATACTTGAATCCTCTTTTATGTAAAGTAGTTTCTATAAATAAAGGATATAAAATTGAATATATATGGATTTCTTGGTTTTACTACATTTTCAACTAATCAGTTATTAGCAAAAGTTTCTTCATTAGCATTTTGAATGATTCTAATTAAATTGCTAGCAATCAGAATACATTCTGTCTATCGCAGAAGAATTTATGACTTCACAAGATTAACTTTGAATAAGAATAAATCTAAGTTATTTATAATAAAATAATTTCATTCTTCTTCACATTTGAATCCTCAGCTATTGATATTGCTTCAGAATTAGATTATTCCATTAGATTCCTTGGTATTTGAATTAATAGCAAATGTTTATCTTCATTTGTTAAAATTAAATCAAACACGATATTTGATATTTTATTAATTCCATATATTATAAACTGCTTACTGACAAGTAAATTGCTTATATCATCAACATAGTTTATCTTCTTATTGAATATTATATCAAACTTATTTCTTTATCAAAAATTGATGTGACAAATTTTTCACTTCTAATTTGTTCATTATTTAAAAGGAAATATATTTTTTCCATTACTCTTCCTACAGTTCTCCTAAATTTCAATCAATTTTACAATTTTAATAACCTTTTATCATTTCAAATTAAATCATTATCAAGTAATCTTCTTTAGGCTTTTCAACTACAATTACTGTATTTCTTATCTTTTTTAACTTTATTATATTAGTTATGTTCTTTTGATAGTGATTCTTATAAAAATTTTATTGGTGCTTCTTTAAGATTGATTTGTTCTACTTTTACAAATTTGTTCCTTCATCCTTCTACATCTTTAATTAATTCATTAAAGGGGATACACACTTTATATAATATTTTTCCACAAAAAATCTTGTTCAAATTTACTAATGTCCTTATTAATCATAATCTTATCTACTTAGAACAATTTACAGATATGACTGGATAATATCTTATAGAAAAATCTGATTTATTTATTAGGGATTTTGCCCATAAAAATTGTAGATTAGAAAACTTGAAATTTTTCTTAAACCTAGAATCCTTAGTTTTAGACAATTCTACTAATAGACTTCTTAAAACAGAATATAGATTAATTCAACTTATTTAAACATTTAGCTATCACCTCCATTACTATAGATTATAAATAAGAGTTTATTGTCTTCTGGAATCTGAACTTACACATACCTTTTTTAGTCTTGTTTTTGACAAAATTTCTTGCCTAGGATGGTTCATTTGTTACTACTATAATATTTCTATTAATAATGATTCTAGTAGTTTTCTTACCAAATGTCATGGTTGCTCCCAATTTTCGCCATTTGCATCTAATAATTCTTGCACCTTTAGAATTCAAGTTCACAGAGTGTTTAAGATAGACTTTCTTTTGAATCAACCTAATAAACAAAAGGTTATTTTCGTTATTCCTGATGAAAATCTCTTGTATCACATATCTTCAATACTATAATATAGTTGCTCACCACCATCAATCAGAATAATAATTACAAGAATAATGAAGTATGTATGATTAATGCAAATTTTCTTTATTTTATGGTTGCATAATTGCTTTTTAACAGCAAAATATCTAGTATTTATTTTATGGTTATTATTTTAAATTCTCTCAAATAACTTTCTAAAATGATTCTCTTTTTTTACATGAAAGTTATAGTTCCACATAACATTTTTTTACGCGTGTGAATAAGTTTATTATTATGGATAACAGTTGGTCACGGTAATTACTACCGACGTTTGACCAATTTTGTGATTGACTTGCTGAGTAAGAAATTCTTTTAACAATCAATTATATTAAAATTTATGTTTAAATAAACAAAAAAAAAGTTAAAAGGTTTTATTTACGCCAAATAAATTGGTGTGATTATAAAAAAGCTATTTTTTAATAAGTTTATAACTTCGGCTTAATACAAAAGAGGTAAGTGACTATATTGACTATACAGTATGACTAAATAGGAGGTCGACAGGACAAATTACAAGTAAAAATACAAAAAAAAATATTAAAAAAAAATTATAAATAAAATATAATTTAAATAATTTTTTTTCCGACCAGCGGCAATAATTCTTAAATTATTAATTATGTTGTCTTCGCCTAACAACTTTATTGTAAATTTGGAGGTCGCGGTGAGCTCTTTAGTTGCCTCCGAGTAATGGCCCATGGAGGGGCCCACTATGACACCAATTGTTGAATCAGGTTGCCTAGTTAGCACCCTTCTATTTTGCGTACTACAGAAGGACTTATAATCATACAACATTTATTAATTCTTACTCAAACTAATAAAACATTAAAACATATTCGAATAAAACATACTTATACTCTTCTTCCAGTTTTTGCATTGAATGATGAAGTTTACATCCTGTACGAGAACTTTTATATCAATGCCTCTGTCATTGCGACCTCTGTATTATATATAATAAAAAAAATTAATCATTAAGGATATGTGTCATAATAATATAGAATCAAATTAGCGTTCACACTACTTGGGTTAAGAAAAAAACATATTTACCTTTTTTATCTCCTTTTTCCAAATTTTCTATCACTCTCAAAAATTGTTAGTTCTAAAAACTTTGCATTCCATCTATACGGTGAGATTCGTTTGAATTTTCTCCAGGGAAGTTCTGGTTACATAGGTACGAAAAACTTAGTTAATATCTTCACAAGAATAATAAGTCAAAAGAAATTTTTGTATTTAAGATCAGAATATGATTTAAGCTTACTTTGTTTGTAAACAAAAAAAAAGACCAGCAAGAAGTAAAAGTTAAAAGTTGAAATCAATTTATCATATAAATAAAAATCCATCACGTAAAATCAAAATAGGATGACTTAATATTCATTATTTATTACGCAGAATGGTTAAAAATCCATTTATTGGTTTAATTTCACATGATGATTAACATTGATTAACCAATTAAATTTTAATAAAAAAAAGAAGAAAAAATCATTATATGAATACTTTATTTTACAAAATATTAGTTTTAATAGTTTTAATACACATTATGATATATTTGGCAAGATATTAGTTATATCCTGTAACGCTTGGTGTGGGTTTATGAAGGAAAGAGTTTGGTTTCAAAACTCTAAAAAGTACAATTTATTAGAATTTTTAAAAAAGTTTTTTAATACAATATTTTAACGTACCTATAATTCTTTTTTGTAATTCAGAATCAGCCTCAATCTTCAGTTTATAATTATCTGACTCCTCAACTTCACAATTATCTTCATCTATTTCCTCATCATTTAATTCTAGTTGAGTTTCTTCCAAATGCATCTTTGATTATATGATTTTGTTAATTCATCAATAAATTTATCCAAGTATTTATAACAATGTTCACATTTTAAACCCACTACCCGAAAACATTCTTCATGATATGCATGACCACATATCAAAACTTCGCCTTCCTCATTTGTTGAATTCTTACAAAATTTTTTGTCACAAAACTTTTTCATATTTGGAAGTACAGGCGAGGGATATCTAAGAGGCAAAGCACCAAGAGGGAAACTTGTAGGAATAGGATCAAAATAATAATAGGGTTTTTTTGTTTTTTTTCTTTCCATTATTTCTCTACCTTACCATTATTTTTCCAAATCTCATCAAAGAAATTGAATAGTGCATCGTGTCTAAGAGATTTACTTGAAGAAACCTTTGATGTGATGTGTCTTCGTAAAAGACTGTGAAAATTTTCAACAATATATTCATCAAACATATTCATATTATTTTTCAAAGTTTCGATACTGGGGTGATTTATTGATTTTTAATAATACACATCAGATAAAAAGGCAAGGAGAATCTTGTCATAATTGTGACGTTTAAATCTCCTCATCATGCATCACGAATGAAATACTGTGTCAACATATTCATCAAATTTATTGTTTCGAAAGAGAACTGTATAAATGCCTAATATTACAGAAATAAGATTATATATCCAGTAGATTTTGTATTACCGAATCTTGCTATTACAATATTTTTTATAAGTTTCCATCCTGAACTCGCTAAATACATTAGTAAATTAATTCGTCAAGTTTTGACTTGGCTGCAAGTTTTTTTTTAGCGCCAAATATTTTTAAATATAATTGATTAAAAAAAGACCAAAAAACCAGAAAGACTGATTCACGACTGTTGAGTGAAACATGCAATGGACCAAGAAAGGAGATTAGGTGTGTGATCTTGTTTGATATTAATGCATTATTATCAGATTCCAAAATATTAACAATTGCTCTTCTAATGAACAATTGTCCAGGAAAATCTGCAGGAACAGGAATAATATAATATTCTAAATAGGTTTTATTTCAGGTAATCTTTAAAAATAATTATTATAAGTAATTTTATAATTATAAAAAACTACACAATTAATTACATACTCAATAAAAGATTGA